CCTCTCTCTCTCTCTCTCTCTCTCTCTCTCTCTCTCTCTCTCTCTCTCTCTCTCTCTCTCTCTCTCTCTCAGCAGATGGTTAAGATTGTTCCTATGTGTCCTCAGCCCTGTTCCCCTCCTGTCCATGTGCTGTGTCCTCATGCCACCCAGAGGTATCTCTGCTTCTTGAGGGCCAAGCCATGGCTCCTACACCATCATGAATGCTTTACCCCCTTGTATGGGGAGCTGCAGAGCCACCCACTGCCCCTTACAAGCACTGAGTGTGGCCAGAGCAGGGAGTGCCCTTGACTCTGTGATTGAGGCAGCTGAGGGGATTTGTGACTTCGTCTCTTTTTGCAGACATGTCTGAAGGAGTCGGACGGCAGCGACACGGAGGATTTCTGTTCTGATCATAGTGAAGACTGTTTGTCAGAAGCGAGCTGGGAGCCTGTTGATAAGAAGGAGACTGAGGTATGTGTCCTGTTACAGCAGCAAGAGGGAATGTTTCTTTCCTGGCGGCTAGCTGGCGGTTACAGCAGCAGAGAGTAGGCTGGAAGCAAGGCAGAGAGCAGCCACCCTTGTCCTTTAACACATCCTCTGCATCCTCTGCTGCTGCAGTGTCTGATAGAAGGGGACCTGTAGGATGGGCTCGCTCAGGGCTAGCCTGTCGTGGCCCAAAGCCTGTGCTGGGGTCCTGAGACCTGGTATTACAAACTGAAAGCTGATGAGGACTGGTGTTTGCCCTAGGTCACACGGTGGGTTCCAGACCACATGGCCTCACATTGTTTTAACTGCGATTGTGAATTCTGGCTGGCCAAACGGAGGCATCACTGCAGGTAAACGATATTATTGCTGTAGTTCCACTCTTCTTCTCAGCCTGTTTCTCACGAACCTCACAAAATGCTTGTCTGTGATGTTTGTTCCCTCCAGCTCCCAGGCGAAAGTTTTGGGTCTTCCTGTCATTTGCCAGGCCTCATGAATTCCCTGCAGATTTCCATTCTACATTGTTCTTGCTTCTATTTTTCCAAGGCCTTTGATCCTTCTCCTGGGTAGCAATGCCCATTAATCCCTTCTTAATGCTAGCCAGTTAGCTTGCCCTGGAGACCACAATATTTACTTTAAGAAACATGTTGACAAGTCGTAAGTAAGGCTGGTACTTTGCCCCTGAACTGGATCCTTTGTGCTTGCTGAAGTTTTGCTGTGGTGTTTCCAGCTCTCTTTTCACTGGTTTTCTTGCTCCTTGACAGGAACTGTGGGAATGTATTTTGTGCTGGTTGCTGCCATCTGAAGTTGCCCATCCCTGATCAGCAGTTGTACGACCCTGTCCTCGTTTGTAACTCCTGTTATGACCACATCCAAGTGTCTCGTGCCAGGGAGCTCATGAGCCAACATCTGAAGAAACCCATTGCCACAGCTTCCAGCTGAATGCCAGACAAAGGACCTGTCTAAGCCCAGCCTTTCTCTCATGGGTTTGAAGGGTGACTCTGCCTCCACTGTAATTGTGAAGGCTGTTGGTGCAACACTTGAACACCAAGCTTGAATGCACTGTCTTCAGCAGTCTTACTATCAGTCTGGAGCAGAGGAGCTCAGATACTCTCTAGAGTATGGTGTGTGTCCTCACTCTGATCCTGGTGGGCCCATACATTGTAGTCTTATGACCTAGGGCTAAAGAGGGTATTGCAACCTCTTTCTCTTGTGGGCTGGAAAGCAATGTCTTCACAGATACTGCCTGTGCAAAGTACCCCCAAAGCAATAGAAAGGCATGTTTAGAACCAACCCCCCCTACAAAGGCAGGCTGCTGTACGAGAAGGAAGCAGGCAGACTCCAGGTGGTACTGTGTGCTTTGGAAGGGCCTCAGCCTGGAGCAGTTCTGTAGAGTCTCTTTCCATGAGTGTGATTTGCGATCAGCTTGGTGAACAAGACTCATTAGCCATCACTAATTGATTTTTCTCTTGTGCATTGGAGAGAAATTCATTCTGGCTGAAAATGGGTTGAACAGATTTTGCCCGTTTTCACGCTCCACTAGGATTGGTGAACACACCTGACTTTGCCCCTGCCCCCCAACACTGCGGGGAGATGGGAGACTGACTTTTTCACCTCTGCTCTGCCCGTCTGCTTTGTCTGCGGTCGTGTCACAGCCTGGTGCTAACAGAGGAATGGCACCCTGATCCTTTCCTGGCATGGAAACAGAACTCGTGTTCCTGCGTTGCTCCTCCTCCCCTCTTCTGCCCTCAGCTCTCCACTTCCTACTGCTCTTTATCCTGAAAACTTGATACCTTGAGGGTATAGGCCATAATGTGTTGTTTTACCTCCTGGAATGTGCTGTCTGGTGTATGTGAGGGTTTCAGTCCAAATGCTGCTATATATTTCTGTGCACTTAATGTAACCCGAAGAAGGGAGAATGAAGCATCAATACCAAAACGGGGGTGGGGAAGGACACTGGCTGACATAGACACTGTGGTCTGTGCTTTTCACTTTAGGATGTACAGCCAAGCTACAGTGCTATACATGACATGTGGCATCTGTTCAGTGGTGGAAACAATCTGACTTGCCCCAGTGTTACCTAAAATGCCTCTTGAATTTGACTTCTTTTTTGTCTCCTGTACAGTGGTCAAAGTTCAGAGTTGCCAACTTGTAATTACCTCTCTAATTCTTCTTTAAACTAGAGAGCAGGAATCCCAACTCATTCTAAGGAAGAGGAACTGGGTTTAGAAAGAAAGAAAGGTTTAGAAAGAAAGAGAACTTCAGGTGGGCTTTCAATCCCTAGATCCCTTGGGGAGTATCATCCTGCCTCCTTTCTAAGAAATCTGCAGATATTAATGAGGAAGAAGAGTTTGAAAATGGGGCATTTCTTTGTAGAAATGCAGGTTTTCTTTCCAGCTAAATGAAAATGTCTGATACATTCTGCACCTCATGAGCTGAGACTTCGTATGCAGGGAGGGGAGGACCTGTGAGGACATCTGGTCTACTAACAAGGCAAAGTACTTTACACTGTTGTGATCTCCCAAATTTTTTGTGAATGGTTTGTCATCTCCATCAGAGGGAATGGAATAATGACCCTTCCCTGCACTTTGATATGTCAGCCTCTGTTTTTTTAAATCTCAATAGTGCAAGCAAAGCTAGCATCATCTGAAGACCGACCCTGTACTTACTTGGACTCTGCTTCTTTTCCATACTGGGAACAACCAATATGGCTTTGGGAAGAGAAGGCACCTTGCTTCAGATTCTCCCCTGCCTTGTACCTTGCAGTCATTGCCAGACATGGAAGAGTGACCATTGGGCTGGCAGAAGAAACCGGATTTGCTCCTGTTTTGCACATGTTGGAATGACTGCAAGCAATAAGGAAGCCAGAAACTAGGTACTCCTGGCCCTTCCATTCAGGCCATTAGTCCAAACTGCTTTTAGCTCTTGTGAGTTTCAGCATCAAAATGTGCTGGCCAAAAACTCTAAAATCAGTTTGATAGCATTGTGACAAACAAAATGTGCTGTACAACTCAATACAGTTGAAATAAAATCTCTATATTAGTGCTGCTGTGTTTGGACCCATTCTTTAGTTTGTAGTGAATTCTTCTTGCACAGTGTTTCCCAGGCTGTTGTTACTTGCCACCTTTTCCTTTGATTTAAGGTATGTTAGGAATTTAATACCCCTTCTCACAAATAACGATCAAGGGTAGGACACAAAGTACACTATGCTGTGATCTTCTACTCTGAGGCCCTCTGCTCTCTTCCAAACAAACCTGCAGCTGCCCAGGATACCAGCCCCTTCCAGCCTCTCATAATGACTCGGTGAGGGATTTTTCTTTTCCAAGAGCTATGAGGCAGGATTCACTAGCTCTTCACCAACATCTTTATACCACTTTTTGCCTGGTAGGCTGTATGGATGTGTTCCTCTATGCAGGATGATGGATGGGGACTGTTGTGCTCAGTCAGCCTAATGTGCCAAGGGTGATGCAGGTAAGTTATAGTTTGTGGTGGAGCTGGAGAGAATCTTTCAGAAAGCCTGTCCTCAATTAAAAGCATCCATGGATCTTAGAATTGAGCAGATCCCTGGTAACCTACTCCTATAGTTCAGGTCAGTGTTCATGTCAGACAGATAATACCTAAATGCTTTGTTGTATTAGAAATGTTAGGAGCAAGATAGCATGTCACATTTAAAAATTAACCATTGCTCCTTAAACAGTCACACAAAAGAAGGTCATCTTTGGAGGCAATGTTGCTGAATATTAATCATGAATTCACAAGAAAGGGTAGTCTACTGATTAACTACAGACTCTGGTCTCAACAGTTCCAATGTCATCTTGATAGGCAGTGGAAGGCTGGCTGCTGGGACTGTTGTATGACCCTTTGGCTTTTCATCACCAGCTGGGACAATGCTTCAGCAGAATTTCCCCCTGTGCATTCCAAGCTCAATATAGGTATTTTGCTGGAGACACTCATGAGTTGCAATGTCAGGCTGGCTATGCCAGCAAAGGGCACTTAATGCTCATGATTATTGAGCACAGAACAAAGCATTATCACTTAAAGAATATAAAGCCATAATTTGCCAACACGTTCACCCTGAGGTAGTCTATATTTGCGCTGAAATGTGTCTAAACCCAGCACAAACAGTGAGATCAAAGCCTTCCCCTATCAGTGCGCTAACTGCCATGAACTCTTAGCAAATTAACAGCCGGAACTGCTTATGATGTACTATAATATCTCATCGGCCACTGAACAAAAAAACGATAGATTTAGGTGAAGTGAGAAGTCAGGTTAAGCTTGCGATGGCTGGTATTCAGCTGCTAAGCCATTAATAGATAGTGCTAAAACTGCAGGGGATGTGAAGAGACATGCTAAGCCTTGGTTATGAAAGAACAACTTCTGTGGCCTTGTGGACCCTGTGAGTGCTGAGCAGGAAGCGGGTTGAAGTGAGAGACACGGACAAGAAGGATGCAGGCTTTCTGAGGGTGCGTTTGATGTGTTTCCGTCCATTCAGTTTTCAGTGTAAGAGAAATAGTAGTACATTTCTCTCCCAAAATGCTAGCATTTTGTTCACTTTAGTTCTTTAGAACTTTAGTTCACTTCTGCAAAAATGAACTTGGGGCACTGCCATTTATTTGTGGTACCTTGGGTATCTTTTTATCTCCTAAATTGAAACTAATATGCCAAATTGTCCTTAGATAAAAGATGCTGCACACATTCTCCAGTATGTTTAAAATAATAATTAAAAAAAAAAAAAAGGCAGTTGCCCAAAGCAGCACACAACTTCAGTCTCACAAAGTTTAGGCCACTCACTCAACTTTACTCTCCCACCGAAGCACAGTTTTTACTGACGTGTTTGTGTGCAATTCTTTCTTACTGAATGCCCAGTCAGTTCTGAGTCCCTGTGTCAAACCTCTGCATTGAAAAGCCAGGTGCTGTGCTGCACTGACCCACACTAAGGGCCAGTGGCCAAGGGTAAGCCTTGGTTGGGGGTATTTACAAGCTTTGTATGTCCTGGGACAAACTATTAATTGTTGCAACTGCCACTGCTCTTTTGTGACTGTAGGCTGCAAATTGCTTCCTGTCACCTTCTAATAAAGTAATCATATTGTTCAAAAACAAGCTAGAAAATTTGGTATAGTGGCAAAGAACAATGTATCTTCACTCATGGTCAGAAATGCAAATTTCATTTAGATTTGCAGAAAGAGAATTTTTTTTTTAATGGCTGCAAAGACACTTGCTAAAGGAAAGCATTTGGCACAGCTGTGTCAGAAATAAAGACTGACGTGGCTGAACAGATTTAGGGTATACGCTGTGCAGAATATCTTCTTGGATGCACAGTAAGTAAAGTATTTGCTGAAATAGTTTACTTCAGTGGTATGGAAAGAAGGGGGGCATGCAGCATCACAGACTTGTAACAGGTGAGCATCTAAAGAGGAACAGATTCGACAGAGTATAGAACTGCAGTTCCCAATTAGTGATTGAATTGTGGAGACAGCATTAGTACTACCAGACACACAGCTGTGTGAAGGAAACTTGGGCCACGGGGAGGAGAGAACCTGTGCTGCCAGGTGGATTGTGTTCCTTACCTCTCTTCAGAGCCGGAGCATCATTGGGGAAGAAAGAGTGAATGCTGTAAGTCAGTGTGGGACTGGAAAGGTGACAAGGCAGGTGTTGAGTGAAGGGAGATAAAAGCGTGTATGTAGAGAGGAAGCAGCAGTAGGGCTGGCTGAAAAGGCTGGGCACTGTTGTCAGCTGACAATGTTACCTATAAATCCTGTGCAGTCCAACAGCTTTTGATCGAGCTACAACATTTCTTGCTAAAAAGCATTTCATTATTATTGATCCATTCCAAGTGAGAGGAAGCTTCCAGTGTTCCCCAGAATAAGTTGTTCTGGGGAGCCCCTGCGTGAAGTCTAAGGCACAAACAGTTCAGAGGCTGATCTACCAAGAGAGCTAAAGGGACTGTTACCTCTCTTATCATTATCAGGCTGGCTCGGACAGTCAAGTGTGCTGGCTGCCAGAAGCTGCAAAGCTGTTTCCTTCATGCTGTACCTCCTGCCACACCTGCTGTAAGACTATGTCTCATGTCATCTGGCATGAGTAGTGAGGCGCTGAAAGGTGCAAGCCATGGCTTTGCCAGGAGCATGCAGCACTCTGGATGCTGATGAAAAACATGATTCTGTCTTTAAAAAGTCATCTGTTTTGCAGCTACGGGCTCAGCTTCAAAGTACTGAAGTAAATGCTTAAAAGGGACCTATGCTTCTGGGCTTCAGTTTCAGGGTCTTTTTAGTTTTAGGGGCTCAGCCTCTACATTTCAGTTATGGGCTATGTATTGCTGGCTCTGACCTGAGTTATGGATGATATAATAAAAAATTCACCTATCCCACCATCAGGCAGTTGTAGTCTTCTTGCACTCCTGCACAGGGAGAGAG